CCCCAAAACCCCAAAACCCCAAAACCCCATTTGACTAAAATTAGTAACATTCTCAAGATTTCTAATTAAAATAAAAAGTACTCCAATTTTGTAGAACATTAAAAAGTGAATCTTTAATTTAACTTAAAGGAATGCTGTTATGATTGATAAAGTAAATTTTTAATAATCAATATTAATTAAAAGTCAAATGATGCTTGGATCACCTCAATACCAACAAAGATCGAGATAATACAGAGGACCAGATGTTGAACACAGGAGTCAAGACAGGGCTGGTTATTAGGAGGGAAATCGCAGAGGGGGTAACATTTCAATATTTTCCTTACTTGCTTTAAAGGGAGATCTGAATAGAGAAAATAAGATATGGATCAAGAGGAAATATTCAGAGGCTTAAGAGTAGCTTTAGTGACAAGTGAGTCGCAAACCCAAAATCTGAAGCAGCTAATCGGAGAATAGGGTGGTAAGGTCCTTGATCTTTCCAAATGTACTTAATCTTTTTCTTTTATAATATGTAATAGTGAACCAAGATAACTTTGAAAGGGCTTTAAGAAGCTTAGATTACTTAATTGTTAAAGATTCTAAATTAGACAATCAGACAATTAATAAGATTGCCTAATAGATTGGAGTACCTAGAGAAGAATTCTAAAATTTAGTCTAAGATTCATAGATGGATGGTTAAGGATTCTCCATAGTGACACCTAACTGGGTGTATGATTGCTTGGATAACAACTCACTACTTGATGATAATAAGTATCAAATATAATTGTAAGAAGGAAAATCATTCTAATTAAATTTTGTTATTAGATCTTCAGATTAAGATATGAAAGGAAAATATAAAGGTCAAGGCGGCAAAAAGCAGTAAACGCATGACAGTGATGAGGATTAGGTTAATGAAGATACTGCATACACCTAGAGACACAGATCAAGGTTCTAAGGATAATAATAGTAACAAAAAGACACAGGTTCAAGAGGCTATAGAAAGGGCTAGCATATTGGTCATAGCAGATACACTGAGGGAATAGATTACGATAAGATTAGTGAGAAAGATCTTGACTCTTAGGATGAAAGAGATTAGTATATACTGACTCAGCTTAAAAAGTCTTAATCTTCAAGGAGAGTCGGAACTTCTTCACCTTATAGAAATAAGGATGGATCTATTGACAGAAGAAGGGTCAGAGACGACAGAGGAGGAGATTATTAAGATGAAGATAATAGTAGAGGTCATTAATAAAGAGGAACTTCAAATAGAGGGAGATAAGCAGACGATAGAAACACATATCTCAATATAAAGCCAGGTGAAGCGACATTCAATCAAGAAGATATTGACAATTTGAATCCAGAAGATTTCCCTGCTGAGTATAGAAACAAAGATGGGTCATTAGATAGAAGAAAGTTTAGATCAAGCAAATCAAAAGGAGGCACCTCTTCAGCCCAGAAAATATTAAGTCAAATTTATGGAGGATCAGGAAGAGCAAGAGGCAGATAAGATCAATACCAAAGCCAAAGAGGTTAAAAAGGTGGCGAGCAAAGTTACCGCTCAGGACAGTAAAGAAGATTGAGAAATCAATCAGAGGATGAGAATGATAGGAGATTATTTGGTCCTTTTAACGTTGATAGAGCTCCAACGGGCTAATTTATTTCAAAAGGCTCAATTAAGAATCCAATTGAGAGATACCCAAGAGACAGCAAATAAAAGTTAAGAGAATAAGGTAAAGGGCAAGGAGAAACTGGAACTAGAGGGCAGTAAAGAAGATAGAGACATTCTGAGGAGGAGGAAAGTGAAATAGATGACAGAGAGTATTAGTAAAGAGGAAGGTCCACTTCTCAAAGATATAGAGGTGGAGGCAAAAAAAGTGGAAGGAGCACTGGAACGAAAAGGGAAATTCATTATAACAAGGATGGATCTATAGACCTACGATCCTTTGGGCCATTCAACGTAGATAGAGCCCCAACTGGATAGCTTGTTCCTAAAGGAACTCTTAAGAACCCAATTGATAAATACCCAGATAGCAAAACAAAATTCAGAAAAGAAGGTATTGAAGAAGAAGAGTTTGAGTAGAGAAGATCAAGAAAATAACAAAATAGAAATGAAGATGATGAGGATGTGGATTATGACAGAAATAGATAGCAATAGAAAAGATCTTAATAAAATTCCTACAATTAAAAACAAGGAAGAAATAGGAGATAGGAAGGAGATGAAAATGAACATGAGAGGGAGAAAGAAGAAGAGTTTGAGTAAGATCACGATAAAAGACATCTAGGCCCATTTAATGTTGACAGGGCTCCAACTGGTTAATTTGTATCAAAAGGCGCAATTAAGAATCCTATCAATTAATATCCTGATAGCAAAGAAAAAAACGCTGAACCAGGAAAATCCCAAAATAGAAGGCAAAATAGGGCAAGCTAAAGAAATTAGGAAGAGAGTGAATCAGATTAATAAGAAGACACGGTCTAATAATAAAGGAGACAAAAGCAAAAGAGAAGCTATCAAAGTTTAGAACGATAAGACCAAGATAGAGCTCGACAAAGCAGATAAACTCAGGAATCAGATAAAGACTAGGAGGAAGGAGACTCCGATTATGAAGGTACCTAGGATCAAACTCAGCCAAGAAAACAAAACCAATAGTAGAATCAAAGCAAATCTAGAGTTCCTAAATACTTGTAGACATCTGATAGATAAACTTAGAAAGGAGCTGGAAAATCAAGCGCCCAAAAGATGTATCCTCTAAATGATGCAATCTTACATTAGTTGGAATTGATTAGAAATCATTACTCTGAGGTGAATGACACGGGAAGGAAAGTTGCTTATAATAAGGTTATAGGCTAAATTAGAAACCTTAACAAACCAATTAACGAATTAGATGACTTAGACCAAATCGAAGGTATTGGCCAAAACATCAGAGATCATATTAGAGAATTTATGGAAAACGGAAGAGTAGAAGGATTTGAAGAAATGGATAAGAAAAGGCAAGGATAGTCATCTAAGGATGAACAAGAAGACAATGTCCTTATATCAAATAGAACTGTAATTATTTGAATTCTTCAATTTTTCTTTAGCAATAGATTATGATTAAAAAGATTTAGGAGATAGCAGAGCAAAAGATGAAAGACACAATTAGAAATGGATTGAGAGTTCAAGTCAATCAAGATGAGAAAAATTAATAAGCTGATGAGATGTATTTAGAGATAATGAAAAAAGACGGCAAGGCTTTTGACCAACAATTAGTTCAATAACTGATCACAACACTTTAATAGGAGAGACTCATTACTGATAAGAAGCAAGCTAGTTCTGATTCTATCAAACAGCTTAAGGATGATTAGTTCATGTGGGAGGGCTCAATCAATTTGGATGATAAGGATATCAAGACTCACTTGAAATTCAGAAAGGAAGAGGATGATTTTTGAAGAGCTATAATTGATAACACTCACTAAAATTTTCTATTTTGATATTTTGATTTACTTACTCAATTTAATCACTAAATATATTATATTTATCCAGACGGGGTTTTGGGGTTTTGGGGTTTTGGGG